ACACACACACACACACACACACACACACACACATGCACACACACACGCACACGCGCGTAGGTACTCGCGCTCACGAACACTCCCGTCCAAACACTTACTCTTCGATAAAACCATTAACGGAGTCATGACCTGCTCTCCCGCTTTCTCGGCCTTTACGTCATTTCCGGCCCTTGTCGTGACTTTTGTTATTATCGACTTTTTTCTATCCACCTTTGTGCCGCCTTTGTTAAGTCTAGATGGAGTAAATATGTGCCTAGACCCAACCTAAGTAACTAGCTTGACTTTCTATAAAAGGGGATATTGACATTTATTTTGTTGATGAGAGCTTCTCAGATTTCTAAATCCCATCAGAGTTTTGGTTACTGAAGGGAAAATCTCTGGTAGTCCTGTGCTCGAATATAGAACCAGTCAATAACCCCCCTCCTCCACAAACGATGTCTTTGTTGGACACATTTAATGAAAGGTACACGTATGGTCGACATTCTGGGAATTAAGTACAGAAAGCTGTCGACCACCTATATCAGGTAATAAAATGTACAACAAGTAGAAAATTCCAGAAACATTCTCCATCAGCCCACTATGATACCTTTTAGCTATGCCACTTGTGTTGTGATACCTGGGTATTTGTAGTACTATCTTTCATTTTGATTTTGAAAACGACCAAAAAATGGCACCATGATATTATTATGTTACTCTATTACTCGAATAATCAAAATTTCAGCACATTAATTACTTTGAGTATTCTTTGTGGCGTCGGTAGCCTAGTGGTTAGGCTCTCGGACTCGCAACCGTAAGGTCGTGGGTTCGAATCCCGTCAGGGACCCGACGTTGTGTCCTTGGGAAAGGCACTTTACACGAATTTTCCTCACTTCACCCAGGTGGGAATGGGTACCCGGCTATAGACAGCGAAAGATCTTGTCAGTATGTTAGTGTTTGAGCGCTTAATCAGCTGCTTGCACTGTATGCTTCCCGGGAAGCTGAGAATGTTTCGGAGTGGTCTGTGGTCTGCTTGGGTAATAATATGGTGTAAAGCGCATAGAGCCTGCTGTTGAGCGGGGATTTGCGCTATACAAATGCTATCTATTATTATTAGTAGTAAAAAGTAATACAGGAGTAATAAAAGAACACAAAGGGGTGATACACCCATGACATGCTGACACATTCTCTGCAAAATTAAATATCAATAGACTTGTGATTCGTCGTGTGGCATTAAGGTATCAAAGGAAGTATCGTCAGCTGGGGAAATTAAGGTATCAATGGATGTATGATTAGCTATTAGTTTAGTTTTAGTAGAGGTTTTACGGCGCTCGCAACTGCATAATAAGGTCATATATGAGCGCCAGAAGATTAGAGGTGTTACAAGAAAGTAACAAACACAAAAAAGAAGAAGGGGAGATAAGGACGATAGATGCTTGATAGGAAAAAAGAAGCAAACACACCAGAGCACCCGCCAACCACCCAATGATTAGCTATGGGAGTGGGAAATAGTTGTAGGTCAGGGTATAAATGGACATTAAATATTGTGTCTGGTATGGAAATTTAAGGTATCAAAAGACGCATGGTCTTATTTTAATTACTTTTACTTACTTTCTTAAGTTATCTTGCTGTGTCGGGGGTGGGGGGGTGGGGGTGCAAACAGTTTTGTCATATTTATTGTATCGCCTGTTTCATGGTTACGTTCATCTTTTTCTGGGTCTAACTCCTTTCTTTATTTCCATCACATCTTTGATTGTACGCCCTCACTGCTTTCCTGTCTAAAGGTAGGGTGGACTAATGTCAAAACCATTTCATCCTTTTTTTTATCTGTGTATTTCAAGCAGGGAGTTGAACCAACCTGTTCTCTGGACGTGTAGTCTGCTGGGGGAGGGAGGGGATTAAAGTATCTAAGGATGTATGGTCGATTGTTGGGCAGTGTATCAATGGACATGTGGCTGGCTGTGGATCGGTCATGGTATCAATGGGCATGTGGATGTCTATTGGGCAAGGGCCAATGTGTGAGCGACTGAAGGTTTGGGGTGCAACATAATAAGAACCTCCATAATATTATCAATCTTCTTTTTTTTTTTAAGTTAACGTTTTTAAAAATACCATGTTTATTGATTCCTTAATTATAGAACTTTGGTTAACAGCGACGCAATACATACATGCATGAATACTTACATTCAACAGTGTCAACGCCACATAATACACTCTGAGACGTCAAACAGACAACCGACACGCCATTGCTGTTTGCCACTGTGCAGCGCCCTGATTCGAGATAGGGTTGTCGTAGTGTCTTGTTTAATGACACATTCCAGTGACTATACATACCTTAAGGCTATGTCATCGACACAATAATTAATGCTTGACATTGTTATGAGCCTGAGCTCAATAACCACTCAATAACCTGAGTTGTTTTTTAATGCGTACAGGAGCTTCACAAGTTGTGCTCCTCTTCTTGGTTCATTCATGTGGCTATACTCAAACTCAAAGAGAGCAGACAGGACCAGGTAATGCCAGCGAAATGGAGTATAAACCAAAAGAAAATTAGAAGTACAAAAATAAAGCAACAGGGAGATTTGGGGGCGGGGGGGGTGTGGAAAAAAATATAAACGACCTGGGTCAGAGAGGCGAATAAAATGTAACTTGAAACGAATGGCCCAAATCTGAGAGCTTAATTTACTCATTACAAGGATGAGGGTGGATATTTATATTTTTTAATTTTTTAAATTTTTTTTTGGGGGGGAGGTTGGTTGGGGTTTTTTTTTGGGTTGAGGGGGGGGGGTGCCCTGGTGTCTAAGGTGCTTCAGCTATTCTTTCCTATCAAACATCTGTTGTCCAGTATCTCTCCCCCTTTTCTTTGCGTACTTACCTGTGAAACGTCTTGCTAATTCTCGGCACCTACATGACCTATTTGTTTTGCAAGTGCCGTAAAACTCTCATCAAAACTAGTTCTAGGGATGGTATTTCACTGTCAAGTTGCTTAGTAGCTCGCGGATTGCTGTTTTCCAAGAAAATGTTTACCCACTGTTTTGGCCTACTTTTGTTTTAGGGTGTTGTGTATGTTAGTTTGTTTGTTTGCTCGTTCTTGTATTTTGTTTTGTTTTGTTTGTTTGTTTTTTGTTGGTTTTTTTCTGTTTGTTTTGTTTTGTTGTTGTTGTTTTTTGATTGTTGTTGTTGGGTTTTTTTGGGGTTTTTTTTTGGGGGGGGTTTAGGGGGGCGGGGGGTTGCGTATGTCTCTCTTTGTCTGGGTTTTACGTAAACTAGGATCTTTCCTTAATTTGGTGTTTATTCGCCTTTTTTGTTGTCTGTTCCATAAATATCAGCTTATAAAAACAAATGCCAATCTGTAGCCACTGTTAAGTCGATTTACAAAAGAGCTAACCAGTTATAAAAGCGATAACAAGGAGATAACGCTCAAGAAAAGGGATCCCGCGAGAAAAAAAAATCTCTTATGTAATATCTTGAAGACTTTGGGGGACTATAAAGTCGGGTTCCAACAACAGGTCATAGCTCCAGCCATAATCGCTCTTCCGAGGTTTTACCCGACACGTGAACACTGCTGGCGACCTCGATCGATCGATTGCTCAGCCAGCCCGCCTCTGCCAAATAACACACTAGGGAAGCTTATTATAATACGACACATCCCGACCCCTCCCCCCCAACCCAGCCACCCACCCATCCGTCCACCTCCCTCTCTCTTTCCCTCCCTCCTTCCATGTCTCTCAATAGCGGTCTAGTTCTCAACAATACCCTAGGGTCAATGAACACGAGTGTGGGACAGTAGCCGTGGTGGACACACCCCACTGGCCAGGTTGAAAAACGAGTCGTCCGCAAACAAGGCTATTGAGTTCGCGAGTACCCCAGCGCGAGCGAGTAAAGTAAAGAGAGCTGAGAGAAGGAGAGAAAGTCGCTCTGCTCAGTTGTGATCTGGCTATGTACAGTGCATCATCCTACACTATTTTACTACTGGAGGGACTCAGAATAAATTTCACTAGGCTACAGCGGTGGGTGTAACCGCTGAGAAGTGCACACGCACTTGAGATCCGGGCCTGGAACGGGATCGAGCGGTGTAGTAGCCTAAGCGATACCTCAAAGAGGGTTTTTTTTCCTCCAACGAAACGGAATCTAATATTAATCGAACAAAGGCCCCCCAAAAAAATACTAACTGGCAGGACGTTCTGTCAACGGACTCTTTCACCTCACGTGTTCCAAAAAGAGAAGAAGAAAAAAGGAAAAGAAAACGACTCAGGTGAACTGTGAACGGGAGCTGTATCGGATAATTCAGGTGAGTGAAACTCGACATGTCTTAATAAGAATTTTTTTTCACTGTCGGCTTGCTTGCAGTTTACAGCGAGACAGCACAATAGCAGCCCCATTACGAGAAGAAAAGGGTAATTAAGGTAATAATAATAATATTTGTACATGGTAACGACTAGAAAGAAGAAGAAGGATCAGACCACAACAAAACAGCCACGACTCTCATTACGGAACAGAAGGTTCAGCTGGTAAGCGTATGCTATGGAGTGAAAACATTATTATAGACTCTAGGTAGTGATAAAGTTTAGAGAATAAGATCCGATGAAAAGATCCCACTATTCTAACCCCCTGCGCCCCCCTTTAAAATTGATACGAATTCGTAGGCCTACTTGAATTAAACCGACCCACTTACAAAACAACCCCAAATCAGACTGTTTTGCCTGCACTAGGCTAACACACATCATGTCATCATATTATGTTCTTTTTTAAGCAGAATTTTAATGTACTCGTAATATATTTCAAGCGCTCATATGACCTTATGCAGTTGTAAACGCCGTAAAAC